GTTAATTTATAAAATAAACCAACATGATTTTAACGTTAAATTACATCTTTACCCATAAATGTGTGTAAATAAATATATTTGCTTATTTTTCAAAATTTCAAAACAATAAAAATCTTTGTCAACTCTCTTTCAAACAAACCAGTTCTTTTAAGAATACTTAAAAAAATTATTATATGCGAATCAAAATTTTCAAAAAAGCAGCTCATCCTAATTAAAATAAAACAAGAAATAACCCATTCCTGCAATCACTTTTTTTTGCGCAAAAGACTTCAAACTTTAATTTTAGCGTATTATGTGCTAGACTATTTTAGCTTTTAGCAAGCAAAAAAAAAAGAAATAATTAAAAAAAAAATGAGCACAAACTTTTTTGTGCACTTCATAATTACTCGTTATGCTAACAACTTGACACTGCAAATACACGTTTTATATATGTAGGTATGTATATATTATATATTTAGTAGTATTTTTAGCTACTTTGTTTTGCTTTAGGCTGACAAAATTTGTTTCCAACCTCGAATCGCAAGTATAAAATCAAAATTTCTTTACACTAAAATTAAACTATGTACATATGTATGTTATTTTAATGAATTTTCAAGAAACAATTATTTTTTCTTTAATACAAACTTTGCTTTAACTTTACCAAAAATAAATTTTTTTGACAAAATTTTGGCGATAATGCAATGTTTATTTTTATCTTACTAAATTTTTTTTTAGTTCAAAGAAAATATGGCCTTATTTTTTTGATAGCTTAAAAGCGTGAAAACGCAAACTAAATTAAAATTTTTTAAATAAATTTTTTTCACTACACACAGGAATGTTGTTTGGAATTTGATATGCTTTAGTTGAAAGCTAGTTTCTTTTTTTTTTTTGTAAGTACTAAGTTTTAATATTATTTTAGTTTAATATAGTGAAAACTGTTGCAAAAGCAGGTTTTTTTTCAAGGAAGGCAGTAGTAAAGAAATGTTAGTTTATGAGTTACGTAAAGAATTAATAAAAAAAAATTGTGCAATTTTATATAAATAAATTTATAAGTTTAGTTTTTATTGAAAAATACAACATTAAACTAAATTTGAGGTGAATGAAATGTAAGTAAAAAATTATATTTAATTTGATTAAGCCTACCAACTGTTGTACAAAACATTAAGAGGTAGTTAATTTTTTTTTAATTGGCTTCAACAGTTTTACATTTAAATTTACTTTTTTCGCTGACATTTTATAATCTACCAATTGTAAATTAATGAATTTCATTTAAATTAACTGTATTATTTTAAAATTGTAAATGAATTTCGTCGCATCGTAAAATATGTATGTAAAATATTAAAACATGTATGGATTAATTTAAAAAAAAAAAAACGCAAAATAAATTCGACTATGCTAGTTTTTCTAGATTAAGTAGTAAGCAAATAATGAAAAATTATGCTTTTAAACAGCAAATGCAAATAATTGTGTTGCAATTGAAAGTTTTTACATTTACCTTTGCTACATTTAGCGACAAACATATGTACATCTGCATATACATACACACATACATTTATTTTAATAATTTTAATTGACAATTTTAATACAACTATTAAACTTTATAATTATGCCCAATTTAAGTATTTACCTATTAAGTTTTAACACTAAAAATTTAACATATAAATGAATGATCTAAAGAAAAAACAGACAAAAAGTATACAGTGAATTGTTATTTATTATTCCTCAACCATTTAATGAAAATTTTTCAAATATTAAGCAAACTGCATATAAGCAAATACATAATGAATAAAAATATGTAATATTAGTTAAATCAAGCGTTACAAGTTATACAAAAAAAATCACACACACACACATAGCTTAAAAAAAATACAATGCCCAATGCGACAGTCATTTGCCTTCGCTGTTTTAAGCTTTTAATAATTTAAAACTGAAATTTATCTTTTAACTTTAAATGTAAGACGCATACTTTACTTTTGTTTTATTTTTATTATAATTATGTTTATTAAAATATTATTATTATTATTTTTTTTTTGTAATGCAATTTACACATTTGCAACATTACGCATGGCAAATGTAAAGCAGCGGCAAACCTGCAACGCTAATAATAAATGTTAAGTGCGAAAAAAAAACATATATGCAGAAAAAGTTGATAATGAACTTCAGTGGAAACGGTGAAGAAAATAAAATGTTGAAAAATTATTGAAAAAATATAATAAAAATCTATCTTTTGTTTTATTTTATTTCTTTTCTATTTGGTTGGTATACTCGATTTCTACGTTTATCATCGTTTTATACTTTTTTGGCATATTAAGTTCGGTTGTTGTTCAGTGAAGAGTTTAGCTAAATCAAAAATAGGATTCCATTTAATGCCTTGTTACTTCCTTTTAGAATCTAGCGTGATAACTTCGGTGAAGAGGGCAAGTTTCGCAGCTTCTTGATTTTTCGAATGAATTTATCAGATATTTTCTACCTTCAATTCGACGCCTCCAAACCATATCATACTAGCCCCCAAATCACGATTGTCGATATCGAATGAAACTCAATTCCAAACTTCATTTTGAGATTAATCGTATGAAGATCGGCCTTTGGAACAAAAATTGTACATTCGGTTTATTTGTATTTATAAATATTTAAAACTATAATTAAATGTTTTCTTTTAAAAAGATTGTCCGAAATTTTTACTCTGTACTAATCTATTCGATGTATAATTTGTAACAAATGTAAATGACTGAAACAAGTGACCACGTGTTGATTTTTTTTAATATTCACAATATTTTTCAAGTTAATTTTTTTTGCACTTTTTTTAGTTTTTATAAATTGTTATAAAAAAAACACATTTCATAACTCTGAAAATTATTTTTCCAGCCAGCAAAAAATTCGAAAAAGGCAAGTGTATGAAATGCAAATTTTCGTCTATTTACCGATTCCATTTTCGGATACATTGCCGATCCGTATTCCTACTAAATTGTGCGACAGAAGCGTATGTACAGAAAATTTGATTGAGATTTTCCTTCTGCACCTCACAGACGCCTTTTCATAGCTCGGAAAAAATAAAACAAAACTAACGAATCCATTTATTGCGTCAGATAGCATGATATTTTTCAAACGTTTTTCAGATCCATACGTATCCATATACGAAAAATGTACGATACCGAACTGTCGAAAAAACTTACGTTTCTTCGCTGGCTCGGTTATTTAGAGCATACAAGCTTGAGAAACAGTTTAAAGTTTGTTCAGACTGGCCGCTAATCGAGCAGTTAGCCAAACTTTCTCGATTAAGACGCTAATTGAGCTCGGTTTACCATTTAAAATTTCAATTCTTAATTGCTCGATTAACGCTTGATTGAATACTAATTGAACAAATTTTTTCATGCAACCCTGCTGGGTATATTTAATTGTAACCTTCAGGAATGCTTACTAAACAAATATCACTAAGCTGTTTGTTTTTGGTCCTCTTTTACAGCTGATATTTCATCAGGGATGGACAATTTTATTTTAAAAGTTTACCTTACCTGCGAAAAAACTCCTATGTATTTTAATGTGTATATATTAAAGAAAATAAGAGGATAACCTTTCCCTTCTGTACCATACCAACTTCTAGACTCACATTAAACAAATTTTGCTATGAAAAAATCTCTTAGAGCAGTTCGAAGCAAAACTATGTTTTCGAAAGAGTGAATCACTTTCCTCCGAATTCTTCGATCTGACATTTAAAAAGGAAGTATGCTCTGTATTTCTGGCGTAATCAACTACAGTTAGGTTACTTTGGCCACCCTTTGATATCATTTGCTAAAATGGTGTGTTTGTACGAATGTACTTTCAAACTAAATAAATGTACGATTGTACCAACTTTTCCATCACTGTAGCTAATCGAGCAGCTGACTGTGTGTGACTTAATCAATTAAATTTCTGTCTGAACTTAGTATTAGGCAGTTACGGCGCCAAGCAAGAAGAAGATGTAGTTTAGTGAGATGAGGCCTCTTCGGTTAATGAAACGGATCAAAATCTGACTTTATAAACGACCCAGCAAAAAACACGATTACCACAGGAACGAAAGTAGAAACGAGCTAGGCGATGGGAATCGCTTACCCTTTCGCTTCAAGAAGGCCTTATTTTAACATGGGCATGTCATTGGAGGTAAGCCCTTACCCGCAGCATTACCTTCAAACGAAGGGAGAACGCATTGATAAACAGAATCCAGAGAAGCGAACAAAGAATGCCTTACAGAGAAACTAATGTAGAATGCCTAGATAAGTACATACTTATTTATATTAAATTTAAATCAGAAAATGTCTTAAAATATTAAAGTTAATTAAAATTTTTATGAATCAGCTTCTATACAAACATATGTATGTATGTATTTAGGTATTTAGATTTTCTTAAAAATTGGTATGTATACATACATTCATTATTAATTAAGCTTAAAATTGTACTTCCTCACTCTTGTACTTCACTTCATCGACTGACTTCAACTTCGCTGCAAATTGAACAAAGCAAAACATGATTTTTATGCGAGACAAATTTCCACAGAAAGTAACGGTAGAAAAAGAACTTTTGGATATTCATTCTATTTTTCAGCTGACTACGATGCAGCATTCTACTTTGCATTCCCGGCAATGGAGCAAAGAAGCGAAACAAATAAAATATTGTAGGACATTCTACTTTGCATTCCCTGAAATGAAGCAAAGAAGCGAAACAAATAAAATGTTGGAGGACATTCTACTTTGCATTCCCTGAAATGCAGTAAAGAAGCGAAACAAATAAAATATTGTACGACATTATACTTTGCTTTCCCGGAAATGAAGCAAAGAAACGAATTAAAAAGGAAATATTATAGGACATTCTACTTTGCATTCCCCGAAATGAAACAAAGAAGCGAAATAAATAAAATATTGTAGGACATTCTACTTTGCAATACTAGCAATGCATAAAAGAAGCGAAAAAATTCGAAGGCATTATAACGCTATGCCTTCTAGAACACGTTACCACTAAAAGCGATTACCAATTTTTTGCTGGGGAAGTACCAAACTGGTATAAGGCAATCCAGAAATGCTTCAACGAAAACATTGAAACATTTTGAGGATCGAGTTTGTAGTTGTCTTTCGGTAACCCAAGTTTTAATTGAATCGAATGCAAAAAACTTTGATCTTTTACCGCCGATTGAAAAGCAGTAACACCGCCGACGCGCACCAAACGGGAGGATCTTTACGCCCTGCATCATTCTGTCTCCTAGGCAGACAATTGTCTAACAAAGGGCGGAATTTTTGTGAGGATGATGGATCCGGGAATAGTTTTGGCGAATGTTTACCCTTGTTAGGGTTATTGCAGTATTTAGCTCTTAGACCGACCTAGTTATTTATAAAAAGGCTGAGTTGACATAAAAGATTAAAAATTGAAAAAAGCACGAAAACTAATACGCTGTGATAAAAAAAAAGTTTAGACAAGTTTTGACAACCTAATATGTAGAATTCGGAAAATAATGGGACATAACAGTGGTTTTCGTTCCCCAAATTTTCTAGAAAGAACTGGTAAGACTGTCAAAAACCAAAATCGTTCTCACAGAAGCAGAGGAAAACTAAGAAGTACGGCAACGCTTTTGTTTTGGTTTACTGAACACTGATATTGCTTTGTTAATACAGAACAGCTGATGGCTGACTTTATCAGATTTTATCAGCAAAAATTGATCGGGTAAAATCTTGCAACTTCTGGCGAAGAGGGAACCTCATTTACTCTCTCATTTGTTGTCAAATGTGGCAGATAGTCGAATACAGGAACGCTTTCTGGTAAATTTTGGCAAATCCTTGCATCTTCTGGTGAATCGGGGAATGCAACTAATATACCGGTGACTGCGCAGCCGGGTTTGAACTAATGAATCTTTTTTTTTAAGCACGGCCGAGGAAATCCTACGCAGAAACAAATTCGGCGCAACAATACTGTGGACTGTGTAGCTGGAGTTGGATTGATTAGGTTTATTTTTTTATACCTATACCGGTATATCCTATCGCCAGTTTGCCCGAAAATCGGGTTTGGCTGGTAACATTTATTTTATTTGTTTTGGTTGTGACACTGAAGATTGCACAACGCCGTTATGGCTGCATGATTAGAGGTGCGTACTACTAATCTGTAGGACCTGAGCTCTATCCCTGGTACAGCCAACATCTAAATTAGAAAAAGAAAAGGCAGGCGAGGCCAAACCTGCGAGAAAAATCTTATCATAAATTAATTTTATCAAATAGCTCGATGACGGATATTTTCCCAACAATGGGCCGTATGATTAAAAAATAAGCAATTGCTTTTTCTTAAAATTTCAGGCCTTTTACTCGATTTATGGCGGATTCATCATTCTACATAGTTCTGAACTTTTTCTTCCATGTCGTTGTTGTTGCGTTTCTCTCACAAAGAGAGAACTAAAACGATGAATTCGCCTTTATCCAAAAAAAAATTGAAGTAAAAGGTATGGCATTTTAAGAAAAGGCAATTGCTTAGTTTTTATTCATACGGTCCAATATTAAAAAAAAAAACATATCGATCCCTAAACGCCAAAAAGCTGTTAGCGAGATTTTTTCAAAATTTTCTATTTGATGCAGAAATGTTCCTAGAGCATTTTTTTGGCGGTTGGGTCTCGATATGTATTTTGTTAATATTTTTTGGATTCAGAAAAATTAAGTCAAATTATATTAATTGTTGAATATTTATTCAACAATTTGTTTTGGTTTTAACAACCTTCATAAAATTTCAGTACTGCTGTCGTGATTATCGCCAATAACTTTGTGATTTTTAAATATTTATTAAGTAGTTTTCACATTTCAAAATTTTCACTTTAATTTAATATGTTTTTAAAAAGTTTAAGCTTATAAGATTTTATGTTTATTGGTTAACGGAATTTCGCTGCTGCCATGAATTTAGTTTATTATCAAATTTCTTAGATAGCTCACTTTTTTCAATATTTGGCGAAACCAAGCTTTTTTATTAGAAATTAATTATTATTTTTGTTTTATTTTATTATTAGTTTTGAAATAAAATTAGAAAGCAAACGTAATTGATGTGTGCTAATATTCGAGTGAAAAGTGCAATTTTTTTAATTTATTTAGATATTTATGAAATTTTAATAGTTTTTTCAATAAAAAAAAGTAGTAACTTTTGCAAGAAAGAAAAATATGCGCCAGCGTGTAAGTTAGAGGCTAACAAAATTTTGTAAAAACCCGAAAGATTTACTAAAATGTAATAAAAAAAAAAAAAATCAAAAATTTTAGACTAAGTTGAGGAGTAACAAAATAATGATAATAAAAGATGAAATAAAAAAAACTAAAAAATATAAATAATACGTTTATTTGTAAATTAGGAATAACATAAAAATGCTTACACTAAAAAATCCTAAATTTTAAATAAAATTGACTGTTTTTTCTTAGAAACTTATAACAAAATGTAAAAATGAAACTACGAGCAACAAATGCAATTGGTGATTTCAAGTTAATTATTTCCGTAAATTTTTAGACCTTAGAATTTCTATGCTTGAGCACAATTTTTCAAAATTTTCTAAACTTATAAGTGTAGAGTAGACGAAACCTAATAAATATATACGTATTAATATTTTGAAACAGAAATAAAAACTGATTCAAGGTGCAGCATGTAGAAAGGTAAGAAAAAAACACACTGAGAGAGAGAATAGAAAGAGAGACTTCTTTGAAAACAAAAAAAAACTTAAAAAGCACACTTACAATAATAAATTTAAAAAAAGGTAGCATTCGCGGGCTTGCAAATAAGGCATGATTTAAGCGTTTGGGAAAAACTGAAAATTTTTTAGCTGATTGAGTTGCAAAACTTTCCATATGTATGCCGCCAAAAGTATGCACGCATGAATGTATGTATTTAAGTAGCTGTAAATTGTATAAGAAATGGGGATGCTTGTGGGATAAAAAATGTAATAAGGCTGTGAATTGCTTTGTTATGCGCGCCTGAAATGGAGTCTAGAGTTGGAAACAGTGAAAAATTAAATGGGAAAAAATTAAGAGAATAGTTGTCTGAAGTACTTACAATACTTATGTATATGGATGTTGGATTAAGTTCAGATTTTCCGGCACACGCAAAGCAATGAAATGTAAAGTATTCTTTATACTACGAAAGGGGCGGGTGGGGCGCGAAATAACGCAGCAATTTCTGGGTGGGGCAGTAGAGCACTGAATGGATTACTGCATTGATTATATACAATACACAAGATAATATGTATGTATATATGTACGTATAACTGGGACTGGCAATATAGGGAAGAAATGAAAATTTATTTGAAAGCTTATGATTTGCATTCTTTAAAATTAAATGTAAGCGTAACACAACAGCTATATGTATGTATGTGAGGATCTAAAAATATTGCAGAAAACTTGATAAAGACTACATGTGTATGTATATAAATGCTTAAAAGTAGATATAAGAAAAAGAAAATGTAAATGAAATCTGCAAGAAATATAAAAAATATGCATTATTTGGAAGCAGAAAATAGAGGACTGAGTGAAGCAGAGGTACAATTGAAAAATGCCCAACTTAAAGAAAAGAAGAAAGGAAAACCAGCGGCAAAAAATGACTGCTGTCGAAAAAAGTTTATATTTGAATGCAGACGCTGCATACGACTTGATTTAATTAATAGAGCAGTAAAGTGTATATATGTATGTATACAAAGCGAGTTAAGACCAAAGAGGTCTTTTGTGCAAACCTATATAACCTAAAAATTAACATAAGAAAAATACCAAATACTTTGTAAGTAGTTAGTAGACTTAATCATTATACGACCTTTTCCTAGGTTTTAATGTTTTTTATATACATAACTACCAATCCTCCAAAAAAAAAAATAAAATTTTAAATCTTTCAATATTTAAGCTGCATGCAAATAGCTAAAGACAAATGCAAGCAAGTAAAGCAAAGCGAAACAAAGCAAAAATGAAAAAAATCTACCTTAAGCAACCTTTTAAACCATAAGCACCTGAAAACTGAAACTCCTGTTAGACAAAAAAAATAACACAAAACACAAAGAAGGTTGAATCTAATAACTAGTGAAAGCGCGCTAAAGCAAAATTTTTAAAAGCAAACAACAAAAATTATTAAATATTTAAACAAAAATTAAAATAAAATAATAACTGTTATTTAAAATGCGCAAAAATTGTTTTTGTTATTTTTCAACCAGTAGCCTAAACTTGAGTATACAAAACAAAAAGCAAGTAAAAATTATATGCCCGTTTTATTTGTTGGAAACTCTTTATATTTAATTCTGTTGAAAATGTTTACATTTTGTTGAAATACCCCTTTTTGTGGTCACCTTACAAAAGCACTTACTTACAGACATATACATATACATATGTATCTATATGTATTCCTATGAAGTTTTTCCTTAAAATTTAACCTTTAAATACATTAAACGTCTGTGTTCCCAAGTTCCAAAGAAATTAAGAAAAATAAATAAATACCGACATCATAAAAACATACACATTAAAAAAAAATTACACAAAATTATGCTACCTCATCTCGACGAACAAAGCAAATGCAAAAAATATGCAAAATATAAACAAAGATATACAAACAAGCACCCAAGTATTTACATGCATGCAGACATAAATACAGAAGTGCGCGAAAAATTATCAAAACTTAATACATACATATAGATATTCAAACGAAAGCATGGTGCATATTAAATCAAATATTAATTTTTTGCTTGAAGAAAAGTAATATACTTACTAGAAAATTAAAAGTATCCCAATTAATCTTTACAACGCTACCTTGACCGAAGAAAGTAGAAAAAAAACGACAAGCGATAAATTAAAAATGTAATTTTTAAGCAAAAAACAAAAACCGACTTCAATGTTTATATAAGAATTGAGGAGTACCGTTCATTTCGTCATGATACAAGGATCGGAACTTAAGCAAATTAGCATGAGACCATCATAGAGGTGCCACCTTTTCGATAAAAAAAGGTCCACAGTTATTCGGTAACTTACGTAAAAAAAGTATTCGGATCGATATCCTCCTTCTTCGTTGAAGTCGGTTAGATAAAAAAAATATACATTCATAAATAGTTGAAATTTAAAATACCATAATGACATGCATACATACGGATATACATATGTACATACGCGCATAAAATCTACATATGTATGTATGTATATAAGGTAGTAAATATGTATGTGTGTATATTTGTATGTGATTGTATGCATAAAAACCACAATGAAGTTTTTTCTATAACCATCAATCAACTTTATTCGCTTTATTATTATTTTATCTACTACCTTATCAGCAGGGATCGGATTTGATGACCTTAAAACTAGTAAAAAGTTACCTTTAAAATGTGACAAAATGCCCATTCTAAACCAAAACAATTTCCTAAAAATTAAAAAAAAAAATCCGGTAAAAGTTTAATTTTATGAATTTTACGAAAAAAAAGAAGTTGTTTTCAAACCACTTTTGTTGTCTTCCATTACAAACATCTACAAGGTACTCTTATTATCATTTATTGACAGGGATAGGCAATATCTGTAAAAGGAACTTTCATTTAAAGTTACGAGTTCTTTAAAAAAAAGGTTGAACTATGGATTTTCCAATTCAAATTACAACCCGCTTCACTTAAACAGGTAAATTTTTTTCTTCAAGAACCAGGCTTATTTCTCTAGTTTTAATTATACAGAGACCTTTCCTTTTTTGGTTTTGTTTTGAGAACTAATCAATAATAAAAAAAGTTATTAAGAGTAAGGTGCTTACCTTATATAGTCCGTTTGATATGCGGCTTTTTGTTAAACGACACAAAAAGCTTCGGAAGCATTTAAAAAACAATTCCAAACGATGCAATTATAATTCAAAAAGAGATTAAGAGCTTATCCGATCTTAAAGAAAAATTAAGTGAGCCTATCGAAGTGATGTGGGTTGTAATAAATTCGTAAAAAATAAAGCAAACGGCAATAAAGCAAATTTAACTTTATTTAATTTTTAAATGATGAATAATGCCAAAATTTGAGTTTTGCTTTATTTCCAACATTTTCATACGTGCTAGCTTTAAACCTACTTTTACGACTTATGAAATATCATCGTACACTTTTTCTAATGAGCCAATTCAAATAACGACGAAGCCTCTCTCCCACCACAAATCCAACACCAAATTTGCGCTCCTTTTCGTGGCAGCTGTAGTAGAAGCCGCAAGGCCCCCGACATGTTTTGTCATGCCCCGTCCAACGCATTTCTTGGATGGCGGTAATTTAAGCTTTTGTCCTTACGACTAAATTAACCAGCCGGGCAGAGGTACCTTGCCCATTAAGGGTCTGGACATTCCAGCTGCATGCCGTCAAATCGTAGTCCTTTAAACATTGGACGTAGTCGTCATCAAAAGGGGAGTCTCATCGGAGGCTTTGTTCTTTTTTTCATTCGAGCTTGTTTTTACGTGGCGGGTCCCAAACTCAGCGCACAACCCATTGCTGGGACGGGGGTCGCTTCGCAACCAAATAACGTATATATGTATAGACAGACACCTGCTTGCAGCGCACCTAACCGAATAAGTCGGAGTGGCCTCACCGAAACTCCCTCTCTTTCTTCCGTGACCTAAGTCTCCACTCGGATTGGTTGCCGCATCTGGCAA